AAACTGAGATACTGTCTACAAAATTAAGTAGGCAATAGTCTTCAAAAGCGCCACGGTCAGGAAAGACAAAGTAAAACTAAGAAAATGGTCATAGACTGGAGGAGACATGACAACTAAATACAAAGGAGATCCTGGATACTGGTAGGAAAATTTGAAATTTGAGTAGTATCTGTAGTTTAATTAATAGCATTGTACAGATGATAATTTGATAATTGTATGCTGATTATATAAGGTTATACATTACAAGAGGGAACTCGGTACTATTTTTACTATTTTTACAACTCTTCTGTGATTCTGGATTTGTTTTAAAAAATGCAGTTTAAAACAAAATTATAGTTATTGCTGAAGGGAAGAGGAGTAGTGGTGAGGGAAAAAGAGGAGAGGAAGTGGATCAAGAAAGAAAAGTAACTTACTAAGGTCACACAGACACTAACTCAGTAGAGCCTGTTTGCATAAATCAGAGATGTTTACTTCATATCCCAATTTTTCCATTAAAAAAAACTTTGCTGCATGTAAGACCCTTTTAGTGAATGGTTCCATTTCTTTAAAAACAATAAGACATAAAGTAAAAGAAGTTTAGAACTTGTATTATCACAGTCTGCTTTTTAGTCTGTATAATGAATATATGATCAGACTACCTAATTAATCAAATCACTTCATTTTCACTAAACTCTATACTGCCAATGAATTGAACAAGTTATGATAGGGTTAAGTAAGTGCCAAAGTTATTTCCTGTGTAACACAAAATAAAACCATAATACATACACATACACAATAAAGCAAGATAAAACAAACAATAAAGTATTCCTTATTTCCCTAAAATAAAAGTTATGATCCCCATTACCTTTACAGTTATGCCAAAATCCATTACTTTAAATTTTCTCAAAAATATCTAGGTGTCTTACTGAGGACTCTTCTTTATTATATTAATTTTCAAGGGAAATTGGTAAATAGTAATAGTTCAGCTCTTGAAAATATTCATGTTTTCCTGGATAGTACTTTTTGAAAAATAAGTCAAAAATTTGAAATGTTATTCATATTATTCAGGATAATATTTTTTTGAAAACTAAATCAAAAGTTAACTTGAAGGTAGACTTCATTGACCCATTTCTAACAAAACTACCTAGAAATGGATATTTATGGGACATCAAATTAATGTTGCTTGACAAAGCATAGGCAATATGCTGAAAAGCAAGCAGAAAGGGTCACAGGCTATTTTTAAAAATCAGAGTACTAATTTAGATACAATCTGAGTAAAACTTAACTTTAAAATAGAAAACTGGATTGATTCTTATACAAAGATAATTTTTATTTAAAATAGTAAGAGAAATTATAACAAGTTACTGTTCAAAGTAACTAAACTAGTTACAGGATTTACAGAATTCTTTGTAGTCATTAAAAGTCATATTTACGAGAAGGGCTAACAGCACAATAAATACTATTTTGCCACACATATAACAATCATAAGCATACTAAAATTTTAACAGAACTCATTTGTATGATAAATTTTAGATGGCTACTTTTTTCTTGATATTTATCTGTATTTCTACACTCTTACAATGAAACTTTTTATTATTTAAAAATTCTTCTGAACATTCCTAAAAAGCATAAATTAAAACTGATCTGACAGCAATACAAAAATCCAAATATGCACCCAAATGACTTTTATTTATGTCACTAAATAGGATAAAGAAAATCAATTTTTAAAAGTATCACTTTTCCTAATCAATTATTATCCTAACAAAACATTAAGAATAAAAACTAAGCATTTTTTCTTAAAGTCATAGCACATATCTAAAAATAAGTTAAAATTATATATTCTGCTACAAAATAAATTTAGTGCTTTAATTTACCTAGATTAAATCATGTCTGCTGAAACATAAATTTAAATTCCTTAAAATATATTACCTTGAAATATAGGGGATATATACATGGGAAAGGGATGTAAATTTCCCAGCAAGTATTATAATGCCACTAAAATTTATGCCATTGTTTTAAAGACAATGGACAATACCAGTCTACACAGAGGCAGTCTGTACAGACACGCACATGTGAAATGCTGAAGTATCATCTTGCTTTCATGTAAAACAATGAAAGAGCACAAGAGTTGTACTGCCTGGCAGGGACTTTAATAGTAATGAGTAAATATTAAGAATTCAAAAAGGCATATGATAGTTATTTGCAGACCTGCTGAATACCAAGGCATTTAGCCTTGTATTCCCAATCTAGAACAGATTTACTATACAACACAGATCACAGACCTTACAGCCAGATGTCAGAGGTTGTACTCTGGCTCTGCTTCCTAGTGTAACTTGGGCAATTAAGAACCTCTCTGAGCCTCAGTTTCCTCATAGATAAAATGGAGACATTACATGTTACAAAGCTTAAAGGAGTCAATGCATGCCAAGCATCTGACAGTGTCTGACATGGGTAAGCACGCAAAAGAATGAATGAATAAATAAATGAATATCTGCATTAAATATGCATATAGTATTAAGATGACAACATGTTAGCCTAGTAAACACATCATTGGCCATCTTTACTCACAGCAGCTTAATACTTTAATGATATGTACCATCAATTATCTATTTCAAAGTCTGTCCTATGAAATCATTTTAAAGCTCAACAACATAATATAGAAGTCACATCTCTGTCATATGCTGCTTTGATTTGAATGTGATTTGTTGCCACCAAAATGCATGTTGAAGTTTAATTTCTCAATGTGGCCGGTAGGAGGTGAAGCCTAAAAGGAAGTGTTTTGGTGATGGGGGCAGAGCACTTGTGACTAGATTAATGTTGTCTTCCAGGAGTGACTTTTCACTCTTGGTGGACTATATATGTTACTACAAGAGTAGGTTGTTTGATACTTTAGATAGGACCCCAAAATCACAAGAAACAAAAGTAAAAACATACAAATGGAATTACGTTAAATTACAAAACTTCTACACAACAATCAACAGAACTGAGAAACAACCAACAGAAAAAGAGAAAATAGGTGCAAATGGAACATTCAACAAGAGTTTGACATTCAGAACATAAGGAATTCAGAAAGATGAATAGCGAAAAAAAGCAATCCAATTTAAAAATAGGCTAAAGAACATAATACAAAAGACATAATACAAATCAACAAAAACATGAAAAAAAAGTTCCATTTCACTAATCATCAGAGAAATGAAAACCACAATGACATCTCACTCTAGCTAGAATGGCCATCATCAAAAAGACAAGAAATAACAGATGCTGGTGAGGATGTAAAGAAAGGGGAACTCTTTATGCTGGTGGGAATGTAAATTACTACAGCCATTCTGGAAAACAGTATAGAGATTCCTCAAAAAAACTAAACATACAACTACCATATGACCCAGCATTCCCACTGCTGGGTACATACCCAAAGGAAATGAAATCTTTATACCAATACTTGCTTGCATCACTATGTTTATTACAAAACTATATATAATAGATAAAATGTGGAATCAACCCAGATACCCTGAGTTGATTAAAAAAAAGTGGTATATTTACACAATGGAATAAAAAAAGAACATAATCCTTTCATTTACAGCAACATGGATGCAAATGTAAAACATTACATTGAGTGAAATATGCCAGACACAGAAAGACAAAGAACACATGTTCTTACTCATTAAGGAAACCAGTAAGTCAACTTTTTGAAAGTACAGAACGGAATGTGGTCACTACAGACAAGGAAGAGGGAACACTAAGAGAAACTTTTAGAGAATAGGAAGGATGCTCTTTGGAGAGCAGTGGAGAAAGAAAACCAAAAGATAGGTAGACACGATGAATGCATGAGGCATGCACATATGGAAATAGCAGAGAATTCCAATTTGTATAATTAATGTATGCTAATTATACATTTTAAAAGAGCAGGTTGTTATAAAGTAAGGTTACCCCTCATGTTTTGTCACTTTGCATGTGCCTGTTTCCCCTCCCACTTTTCCACATGCATACAACAGCATGAGGCCTTCACCAGAAGCCGAGCAGATGCTGGCTCCATGCTCTTAGGCTCCCAGGATCATAAGCCAAAACAAAACCTCTCCTTCATAAATGACCAGTTTTATGTGATCTGTTACAGAAACAGAAAATGGACTAAGGCATATGTCTATTGAATCCTAGGTATTTTGAAGAGTCCGAAAAGAAATGAGGCCAACAAATAAGGTATTGGTAAAATAATGAAGTAAAAAATGGTAGAGAAAAACACCAAGTCCTTGAAAACTGGCAACCAGAGAGCAATTTTCATGATGGTCAAATGAAGAACTACCAATGATGAAACGTACATCATCACAGACTCTGAAGTAATAAAGAAAAGAATGAATTTCCTAGAGGGAAACTTATTGCCATCTAATTTATTTAGAAAAGACACATGACCTGTTAGATGAATCAAATAGAAAATGGGCAAATTTTAGTAAAAAGTTATATCTAATATTATTACGATTTAGTATTTTATTCCTTAAAAATCTACATGCTGGAAAAATCAAACTTATTTTGAAAAGAATAGAAGAAACTGCTAAATATTAAAGGCTTTTTAAAAACTGCTTGTGTCTGGGCATGGTGGCCCTGCCTATCCTCCCAGCACTTGCGAGACTGAAACAGGAGGATCACAATTTTAGGCCAGCTTGGGTTATAACAGCAAGACCCTGTCTCAAAACAAAAAACACACAAACAAACAACAACAAAAAAATTAGTTTCTGTAGAGTTTTAACTAGTCTGTTACTCTTTTTGAGATTTTTAAGTATTAATTTTCATGTTTTAGCTTATAGTAATAACCTACAGTGCTGTATAATCTTTATTTAGTGGAAACTAATGCATTTGGAAAAAACACTTAGGAAATAGCTATGCACAATACATGCAAATAGATAATGATGAATTGTGAATACCACTTCCATTATATTTTTTCAGAAACTTCTCAATGAACAAAATGGAGAGATAACGGTCTCAGTGCCTCGCACAGATGGAGACACAGAGTTCACAGCATTCTTGCTTACCATGCCACACCGCTGCATGTCCGTCCCACAAAGTTGCCACTGTTTTCCTTGCGCCGTCCCATAAATTATGAGAGTAGGCTTCTTTTAATACATTCTTCCTCTTATAAATGTGTAGGAAAATAATAGTAAGGTAGAGAAGAAAGATAGTAAAATAAGGAAGTATTAAAAGTATGAGTGGTGTAAAAACCCACAAGAGATGGTTCGCAAAATTCAAATAGTCCTCCAATTGCTCCACACCAAGCCATTCCTCAAGTATGTGAATCAGACAAGTCATATAGGGCATAGAATCCTGCCCGGCAACACAGGTTTGATTTTTATCAATCATTTTTCTTTAGGTGAAAATGACAAAGTCGGTCTCTTTCTTCACTGCCATAGCAGGTCTTTAATTTTGATACTAGAAGGGAAAAATAACGCAGAGTTATTTTCTTCACATGTACAGAGTTAAATGTTATAGCTTACAAAAATAACACTCAGGGTCATTTTTAAATATCAGAAATCAGTAGATTTTTTTAATGCTCAACTTTGTTGCAAATGTTAAATGTGAAAGTTGTAAGGTTTCATCTGTTTGCTCGTGAAGTGTTGGGTTTAGCTTCTGAAATAAATTGCAAGCTATAATTGAGAGGAAAAAGCTGATGAGGAAAGAAATTTCAGATCAGTCTTAGACTCATATTGACAGGATGATGTTGCACATTTGGATCTTTAGGCTACACTGAGATTAACTGTGTTCTTCACAAAAGAAAACATCAAAATCTGATTAAATAAATGTGCCCAAATTCTTTAGGAAATGATGACATACATCTTCAGATATTTTCTTTTATAGAGAAACAGGTTTATAGAAAAACTTTGTTCTTTTGCCATTAATCACTAATAAAAATTATCAGCACAATTTTTTAATCTGATAGTCACCAAAATTTCTCTTAAAACTTAAATGACTAAAAATTAGCTGATAATTATTTTATAACCTTATTCTCTAACCATTAGTTGACCTACCAGAAATTGGGTAATCATCTTGTCTTAAGCTTCAATGTGTGTATTCTGAAAAACACAGTAAATAAATGGAATATATGATTAAAGAAAGAAAATAATCATTAATACCTAGAGTTAAAATTTCCACAAAATAGCAAGAGACATTCACAAATGTTTGACAAATATTTCAGCCCCAGGGGGAATCACAATCAAACATTATATTCAAGCTACCATTGCTTTATTAAGGACAACTGTTCAGTGCCACTACACTAAAACCCACCTAAGAATTTGTCATAAAAGAAGCACAAGACTCTCTGATTCTTCAGGGGAAAAAAGTATGGAGTTAAGATGCGTAATTGACCGTCTCTTTTTACAAATTTTGCCAGTTAAGCTGACAATCAAATATGATATTTGATGATACAATTATATACCCTTATATCATAATTTCCTATGTCAGATGTCTTTCTTCTACTCATGTTTTCACCAGTTCTTAATCTATTCTTACAGATACTTTATAAACTTTTAATTCAATCACCTCAAATCATCTCAAATTCTTTGTGCCTGAGGCAGAAAAGGAAAAAAATGAAAGATGGACAGAGGGAAAAAAATATCCATATTTACAAGAGCAATTATATGCTGTCTTCATGCTAAGATTATCTTGCTAACTTAAAAACCAAAAAAGCTGGCCACTGGTGGCTCACACCTATAATCCTACCTACTCAGGAGGCAGACATCGGGAGGATCGCAGTTCAAAGCCAGCCAGCGCCAACAGTTTGTGAGTCCCTATCTCGAAAAACCCTTTACAGAAAGGGGCTGGAAGTGGGTTGAGGTGTAGGCTCTAAGTTCAAACCCCAGAACCGCCAAAAAAAAAAAGGCACACACTTTGATTTATTCTTATAGGGACAGAGGGCTCAGTCTCATTTCCTTGTAACAAACAGCATCTACTTGTGAGAAACCTGGGACGATCCTGGTAACAGAAGGTGAACAACCTTGGGCTGGTAGAATGGTAAAGTGCCCGCCTAATAAGCATGAGGCACCAAGTTCAAATTCCAGTACCACCAAAAAAAGTTGGTAAAGCCCCTCAACCTGGGCTTTCTTTATATCCCATTCCAACTAATCTACCTAAAGAGCTGAATCACTGTAATTCCAACTTACTGGCATTTAATCATTTAAAATGCAACACAGCAAAATTTAATGCTTTTTAAAATGAAGGCTTTTTGTACTAGGATAGCTATAATCGAAAAAACAGGAAATAGCTAGTGTTGGTGACAATGTAGAAGAATTAGAATCTTTAAACATGCCTATAATCCTAACCATTTGGGAGTCTGAGACTAAGAGGACTGTGGTTCAGGGCTAGCCTGGGGAAAATAATTCATGAGACCCCATCTCGACCAATAGCTGGGTGCAGTGGCATGTATTTATTATCCCAGCTATGCAGAAAGGAGGTTGAGGTAGAGAATCATGGTTCCAGCCTGACCCAGGCAAACAAAAAGAGAAAAAAGTTCGCAACACTCTATCTCAACAGAAAAAGCTAGGTATGGTGCACATACCTATCATCCTAGCTACAGTGGAAAATGGAAATAGGAGGACTGCGGTCCAGGCTGGCCTAGGCCAAAAGCAAGACCCTCTCTCTAAAATAACCAGAGCAAAAAGGGCTGGAAATGTGACCTAAAGTGTAGAGCACCTGTCTATCAAGTACAAGGCCCTGAATTCAACCCCTATACCACCAAAAAAAAAAAAAAAAGCGAAACGTAACAGTTACCCAACAATTCTGCTCATAGGTATATGCCCAAGAAGACTGAAAACATTCATACAAAAATCTGTATACAAGCATTCACAGCAGGATTATTCATAACTAAAGTGGAAACAATTCAAATTTCCATCATCCAAATAAATAGATAAACAAGATATATTTCCATGTAACAGAATATCATTCAGACATAAAAAATTTAACTAACCTCAGTTTCAGGTATCCTCCTGGGGTCTTGGAACATATACTCTGCTATAACATGGATAAGCCTTGAAAATACTATATGCTAAGTGAAAAAAGCCAGACACAACTGGCCACATATTGTAGGACTCCATTTATATGGTGTACCCCAAACAGGTTAATCCATAGAGACATCAAAGTTAGTGGTTTCTAGGGACTGAGAAAGAGGAAAATGAGAAGTAACTGCTAATGGAAACAGAAGTATTTATGGGATGATGTAATATTCTAGAATTAGATAATAGTGATGGTTACACAACCTTGTAAATATACTAAAAAACACTGAATTGTACACTAAAAAATGGTGAAGTTATGGTGAATTGTATCTCAATATAAAAATGTTTAAATACCATCAATAAATTAACAAAACTTACAACTTTTCATATAGGTTAAGAGAAATTCTTCCTAGGCCCAATCAATGGCTTGATGATCTGATCATTTCTGCTTAATACAACTGCCCACAATAATCCAGCCTGTTTCCAGTTTTTAATAGGATTGTAAACTCTTTCAATTTTATAACTTCTTTAGTTCCTCCCCATACAAACTGGTAACAGGATTATAAGAGCCCCCCTGCCCAGAGTATATATTCCAAGACCCCAGATAGATGGACGGATTCCTGAACCTGAGGAGAATAACCAATTCTATCTAGATTGAGCATCTCTAATCTAAAATTCCAAAATGCTCCCAAATCAGAAACTTCTTGAGCACCATCAAGTGAGAATTTTCACACCTGACCTCATGTGATGGGTGACAGTGAAACTACAGATGCACAAAAAATATAGTATAAAACTACCTTCAGGCTATGTGTGTTTTTTGTATATGAAACACAGGTTTGTTCTTTTTTTTTTAAAGAAGACCAAGAAAGTGAATGGTCTCTACAATAAAAATTATAAAACAGTGATGAAAGAAACTGAAGAGGACACAAAAAAATGCAAAGATAATCCATCTTCATGGATTAGAAGAATTAATATTGTGAGGAAGTCCACACTACCCAAAATGATCCACAAACCCAAAGCAATTCTGATCAAAATATCAATGACATTCTTCACAGGACAACAACAAAAAAATACTCTTCAAAGAACTAGTAAGAATAATCCCAAACCCCATAGCACCACAGAAGACTTCAAGTAGCCAAAGCAATCCTGAGCAAGAGGAAAAAAGCTAGCGGCATTACAAAACCTGACTTCAAAGTATACTGCAAAGCTGTAGGAATCAAAACAGCATGGAACTAGCATTAAAACAACCAAAAAAGAAAAGGAAAAAGAAACAAACACAGACAAACAGAACAGAAAGGAGGATACAGAAATAAATTCACATACTTACAGCCATTCTCATTTTCAATGAAGGCATCAAATATATATGTTAGAGAAAGAAAAGGCTCTTCAGTGAAAGGGGTTGGGAAAACTGGGTGTCCACATAAAGAAAGAAACTAGGCTACTAACCCTTACTAGTACAAAAATCAACTCAAAATGGACCAAAGGCTTAAATGTAAGGTCAGAAACTTTAAAACTACTGTAAGAAAATACAGAAAGAATTCTTCAGGACATGCATCTAGGCAAAGATTTGGTAGAGAGGGATAGTACCCCAAAAGCATAGATGACAAAAGCAAAAATTAACAATGGGAAAAAAATTTCATAAACTATTCGTCCAACAAGGGATTAATTCCAGAATATGTTGAGAACTGAAAAGACTCACCAGTGGGGGGAGGGAAATCCAATTAAAAAAGGGCAAATGACCCAAATAGATATTTCGCAAGAGGATATACAAACAGCCAACAAATCTATGAAAAAAATGTCAGTATCACTAATCATGAAGGAAATGCATAAAACCATAATAAGATATCATCTCACCCCAGTCCCAATGGTTGTTATCAAAAGACAAAAAAAAGAAAAAAAAAATTGGGTTAGGGATGTATTTGGTATTCAGCATGTGTAGAGTACATTCTTAGAAACGAGGCTCTGGCTTGAATCCCTACCATCAAAACAACCGAACCAAAAACAACAAATGCTAGTAAGGATGCAGAGAAGGTGAACTCTCATATACTGTTGGTGGGAACGAAAACTAGTATAGCCATTACAGAAAACAGTATGGAGGTTTCTCAAAAAACTAGAATTAGAATTACTGTATGCAAACTATATGTAGTGATACACATCAACTCCTTGGGAGGTAGAGGCAAAAGGATCATGAGCTGGAGGCCAAGGCAGCCAAAGTTAATGAAACTGAGCAAAATTAGTGAGACCCTGTCTCAAAAACAAAATGAAAATGGAAGGGCTGGGAGCATAGCTCAAGTGGTAGAGCACATGCTTAGCAAGCACAAGGTCCTGGGTTTAATCCCCAGCACTGCAATAAAAGAAAAAAGAGGAGAAAGAAAAGGAGGAGGAGGAGAAAGAAAGCAGTACATTGAAGAGGCATTTGCACAACTGTGTTTATTGCAACACGAGGCACAATAGTGGCACTACTGTGTAATCAGCCTAGGTGTCCACTAAGTGATTGATGGATAAAGAAATTGTGTATACATACACAATGAAACACTATTCAGTCACAAAAAAAGATCACGATTCTATTCTTTGGAGCAAAATGGAAGATACTAGAGGACAATATGTTAAGTGATATTTCAGCACAGAAAGACAAATAGCACATGTCCTCACCTACATATGGAAAATAAAGTTTATCTCATAGAAGTAAAGAATAGAACAGTGGTTACCAGAGCTTGGGATGTGTGTGTGGGAAAAAGGGAAGAAGAAAGTATGGTCATGGGTACCAGGTTGCAGCTGGATAGGAAAAATAACTCCCAATGCTCTAAAGCACAGTAGGGTAACTATAGCTGACAACAATGAACATCTCAAAGTAGCTAGTAGAGAGGATTTTGAATGTTCCCAACAAAAGACATATGTCTGATATGCCAGTTACCCTGATCTGATCATTACACATTATGTACATATATTGAAATATCACATGAACTCCATAAATATGTACAATTACTAGAAGCCAATTTAAAATATAACAATAAAAAGCCAGGCATGTTGGCACACACCTTTAATCCTAGCGATCAGGAGGCTGAGGCAGGAGGTTTGCTAGTTTGAGGCCAGCCTGGGCTACATCATAGTGATATCTTGTCTAAAATAAAATTAAATTAAAACCTTAGATTTCAAATTTCAAACTTAAGGTTCGGGTATGAATCACTTTTCAAGATTAAAAAAAAAAAAAAGAAATTCTAGAATGCTCTTCAACTCTTTCCAAAAATCTTCCACTCTATTTGATGACTACTGTTCTACACTTATTTCCTTAACCTAGTCACTCATCCCAATAATGTTATACATCTAAACTGGTGTATCTGCAACTCTGCGGAACGCTCAACTTCTTAAATCTCTAAATTCAGCATATCTCTGACCTTAAAGAGTGCAGCACTAAGGATGTGGGAATAAATAACTTCTTTTGAAAATCAATCTTTTATTTTCATCCATTCATAAATGTGGCCAAAATACTAATGACCATTCTGAATATGTTTTGTTCTTTCTTTCTTTTTTTGAGATAGGGTTTCCCTATGTAGCCCAGGCTGGCCTCTAACTCACTAACTCAAGATCCTCTTGTTGTTGCCTCCTGAGTGCTGGGATTACAGTTGGCACCATCAGATCCTGTTTAACTGAGTTCTTATATAGTCCTAAATAAGTATCAATTTCCGCATTAATGGTACAAGTCAAGTCCTCAAGCCAAGCTCCAACAACTTTCAAGTCTGAACTTGCTTCTTGGAGGAAGCTGCTGGCAGTCTCAGGGTATACCACACAACAAATTCTGCCTTTTGCCAAATACACCTGTGCTGTTACAGTTTTCTTCATGCTATTCATGTGCACATGCATATTTCTTATGAGACACTTAGCAACTTGAAGGCACAGACCTGTTTTACAGGCTGCCAACCCCAGCGACCGAGACAAGGCGCATCCATAAGGTCTGTACCGCCTCAAACTAGTAATAGCACAAATGAAAGGTTTGCTACACATCGTTTCGTTTACTTCTCAGCAGCCCCACGAGGCGGTTACTGTGGCTCATGCCCACTTCACAGACGAGCACGCTGAAGGTGAGAAGGATTAAGTCACCTGCCAGGTCACACGGGTAGCACACAGCACAAGGCAGGGCTCCCAGCCTGCTGTGGGCGGCCGCGAACACTGCTGGGCAGTTCCACCCGCCTTGTCTCTACTCTCTCGTGGTCACCACGTACTGCCCTCGAGCTTGATCCGGCTGCGGGATCGGGGGCATCGGTGACCAAGCCAGGAGGCCGGAGCCAACACGGAGCCCTAAAGCCGAGCCCTCCCGCCGGGGGACTCCAGAAGCCGGAGGAAGACCGCCGCGCAACCTTCGCGTTTCCAGCCCCGCGACACCGACGCGACGCCCGGCGCCTGAATGGAGGAGCTCGGGGAGGTCAAGGCGGGGACCGACGCACCTCAGACGCGAAGGGGCACGGACGGCTCGCCTTCTCCCTCAGCTGCGTGGCGAGCTCTTCGGTGACTCAGTGACAGGAAAGGCGGACAGATTTGCGCGGCCGGTTTCTCCTCTGCACCCTACGAGAAAGAAGCCCGAACCGCGTTATGTGTGACACCGCCGGTCGCCCCGCCCCTTCCGGTGGCTGCCAGGACCCACTTCCTGTGACGGCTTCCAAATAGCTCTTAGCACGAGCAGCTCGGGGCCTATTCCTGGCCCGGCGCACCGACGCCTTCTCCTTTCGGTCTCCAGTAGCTGAGCGGAGGCCTCGGCCCGGCAGCAGACGTCAGGGCGGCCTTTGAGGGGCAAAATGTGCTGCGAGAAGTGGAGCCCAGTGGCCGAAATGCTTCTCTTCATTGAAGACCGGGGGGAAGATTCTAAGATCCTGTGCCTCTGCTCCAGGGCGTTTGTGGAGTAAGTGGGAAACGCGTTTCTCCCGTTTCTAGCACGGTGGTAGGTGTGGTCAGCGGGGTTGTAATTGTGCGCCGAAAACGGCCAGATTGTCCGCCACGGGTAAGAAACACAAAACCCCTCAGGCGTCACGGAGTGGTGGCCTACTGCCATTGCCATTAAACGAAAAGACTTAATTCTCATTTCGTAGGCTGTGATGAGAACACGTGGTAGCTGATCTACGTCATTTCGAGTTTATAAATCGAGGGGGCATTTAAAATTTGGGAGAAGTGAAAAGTGAATGTCTAATGGATGCGACATTTTCAGGTGAAAGTTTCAAGTCCAGTACCTTGTTTTGAATAATATCTGTTTTCAAATCTCATTTCAAACCAAATCTATTTAAGCTTAAGTGCACAAATTACTGCTTCTACCTATTTGAGATAAAAGGGTTAACTATTTTTGCATCAGTTTTTGAAATATCTTTCTCTTGGGGAAATGTTTGTTTGGGATGAAAGTTGCCCTGCATGGAAAATAACTACTTGTGTACGGAAAAGAAAAACAAACTGACTGGAAAATTGGAATCTAGGTATTGTTTTGCGTGTGAATTAAGCCACGTAGCTTACTTTTTCATCTCTGAATTGTATGTATGTACCCTAATCTCATATGATTCTTGTTAGATTCACATCTTTGTGGGAAGGAATCTTATGTGACTTTACATTAGTTTTACTGTAGTAGAATTTAAGTTTGAAGGAGTTCCTTTTTTGTAATAGGTTTCTGTGGAGTGACCCGAAAGTTAATCCAAAAAGAAATTGTTAAGCATCATATTAAATTTAATGTAAACGACCAGGCATCAGTGGCTCACGCCTGTAATCCTAGCTTCTCAGGAGGCAGCGATCAGGAGGATCAAGGTTCAAAGCCAGCCCCAGACCCTAGCTTGAGAAACCCCATCACAAAAATGGGATGTGGAGTGGCTCAAGGTGTAGGCCCTGAGTTCAAACCCCAGTACTGCAAAAAAAAAAAAAAAGTAAAATTTTTTTCTCCTCGGGGTGGTGCCACAGGCCTATTATTCCGCCTACTGGGGAACAGAAACATGAGGATCCTGAGTTCCAGGCTAGCCTGGGCAAAGCTAGCAAGAGATCCTATCTCAAAACCAAAATACAAAAGAAAAGAGCCACGGGTGTGGCTCAAGTGGTGGTAAGGTCCTGGGTCCAATTCTACTACCACACAGACAACACAAAAAATTACCTCCTCTGTAGTCAAGCATGCATTTAGTCAGTGAATACTTTCTGTACTCCTATGTATCAGGTAGACACTGAGTTTACTTTCTAGCAAAGGAGAGCAATATTCCATTAAGATATCTGGATCAAATTACTTGGTTAATTATTGTTAGAAGTCATAGTTATGAGAGAGAAGTGCATGATGCTTTGAGAACAACCTAACCTTTCTCAAAGGGTCTCGGAGGTGTCTGGGGTAGCCTTTAGAAAGAGGTCTAAAGGAAATAAACTGGGGTTAAGTTTGAGTGGAAGGAAGCATTCCACAGGCTGAACTCTGTAAAAAGGCCTAGAGGGAGCAAAAGAAAGTCTGAAAATGAATAAAATGACTGGGAAGAAAAGATATGAGATAAAGGGTTGGTGAGGTATGCAGGATCTTGTAAAAAGACTACCAACATCCCAGAGTTATAATAATAGTTCGATTTTATGATGTTATAGTAGAAGCTATACTTCAGATTTTGAATTCGGATTTGTTTTCCCATCTATCAGAATATAACACTATCTCCTCTTAAGATCCTGGGCAGCAGCAGGAGCCCAGCCCCTAGTCAGCCATACAATCATATGGGGAAACAACTAGTACTGTTCAGTGTGCTGTGTTGTACATGGGTTAGGTATATTCACTGACAATGTATTTAATTAGTAATGAGTTTATTTGGAGGTTATGCCATCATAACTCAGGGAGCATCTGGATCGGAAAACTACCTTAAGCTGGAGAACAACACAATTACAGAGTTTATTTCAGTGCCGGGGTAGAACCTGGGACCTTCCACATGCTGGCCAAGTGTTCTGCCACTGAGCTACCTTCCCAGCCATTACATTACCATTTTTAAAAGATTTCTGGTGGCAATTTGGATGAAGGTTTAAGAGACAAGAGCCACTTTAGACTGTTGTCCTGGAGAGAGATTTTAGGGATTGGATTTTGATAGATCGCAGTAGAAACAGAAAAGGAGGAAAGATAGGAAAAAAATTGTTAGGGTTTGGGGATTGAATCGGATGTGGGAGAATGTATGAAAGAAAGCAATGGGGGGGGTAAGGTTAAGGGTAACTGGTTTCTTGTATTGCTGCCTTTCACTGATACAGATCACTGGAGAATGGTGGGGTTTTGTTTTGGAGCATGATCAGGATATCATGAGCTTGATTTTGTACAGTTCTATTTTAGGAAACCTTTGAGATGGGGATATATTGGTTTGAAACTTTGGAGAAGTTTGATCTGGTCTTTAAAAAATGAGTCTTTTTAGGGGGGGACTAGGGTTTGAACTTACAGCTTCATGCTTGCAAAGCAGGCATTCTACCACTTGAGCCACACCTTTAGTCCATTTTGGGCTGATTATTTTTGGAGATGGGGTTTCTCAAACTATTTGCCCATGCTGGTCTTGAGCCACTATCCTCCCAAATTCTTAGGATTACAAGTGGGAGCCACCAACACCCTAGCCATTCACCTGTGGATAGTGATTGAAGCTGTTAAATGGAAGGGAGGGAATAATCCACCTTTGAGGAATTCAGTGGGAGGATTGCGAGTTTGAAGCCAGTGTAGACGCAAAACAAGACCCTTCTCAAAAAAAAAAAAAATAATAATAGAATTCCAATTTTCCAGTTCGAGCATTTTTTTAAAGGTGAGAAGAGATGGACTAACTGGGAAGCTGGTAAGGAGGTAAACCCAGTATACTGCTACCAAGTGTTTTGGTGAAGGAGAAATCAACATTAGCAAGCTACTAAAATGATAAGCAAAAGTGTCCACTAGAATTGTCAAAATCCACTGAATTGATCAATGCCTTATTAAGTGTTTTATATTTCCTGCTGACAGATTCTCCTTCACCAAACTTTATATAGACTCCTCTGAATTTGATTTTAGGTCTTGTCCTTTGGGCTTTGTCCTCATCATTTTTGGCCCAGCTTTAGCAAGAATTCTTTGAAGTGAGACTCCCCTACCTCTGGTATCTGACCACTGTGGCCTGCCCTCCGCAAAACTTCCACCTTGATTTCTCTTTTTAGGTCTGCATACGTCTTTATGTGTATGTAAGTTAAGTCTTTCCATTATATTATACTCAATTCTTACAGTGAAATTTAGAGAAAATGTCATTGTTTATATCATAAAGATGATCAGATTCTTCCCCCAATATTCAGGAGAAATACCACTTTGTTTTAATAATTTGTAGTTAGAGTTATAAATGCTACTGTATATCAGGAAATATGTTAGGTATTTTACATATACTATCAATCTTTACAACTCCATGGGAAATATATTGTTACTTATATATTATAGGTGAGGAAAATGTATTAACAGGTTTTTTTTATTCCTTTGCATTTTCATTAATTAATCTATACTGCTTTTAGCTTTTTTCTGTCTCACCAACTTTATAGTTATTTCAGTGTGGACTGCTTAATTTGCTTCATAGGGATCGAAAACTGTGCAAATTGGGATTAAAAGGCTACTATGTCAAAGGCAATGGCAACAACACAGGTAAATATAGTATAAAACAGCATAGTCCTTTTTTGCTAAAATTTACCATAATACCATATTTATATATAGTTTGTTACAGTATTATGCTAACTCACTAGCATAAAATAATCCTGTATCAGACACTCTTCCTTTATTGTATGTGGATTATAAACATAGTTCTAGAATCTCAAAGCTCATCTTTTTTCCTATAGCTACTGTATGAACTCTTGCCCTGTGTAACATTCATTCCTAAATTGTATAATTATTCTGGATTTTGAAGTTTTGAAAAGTAGAGACTTTCTAGTTCCTTCATTGAATTTTACCATATAGGCAAATGAATCAGAATGGATTCTAAGTGAACGTCCAGAGTCTTTGATCTGAAGTAAAGAGACTGCCATCTCATTTGTGTTAACTTACCCAAATAACAAGTAGATTTTGGTCTCTACATTGACTCTCACTTAAATCTCTCAAACTTCCCTACCCCACTTGTCTTTCTGTATATAGCTTTTATTTTTCTAGACATGGAGAGAACTTCAGCATGGAGCTAGAAGCCAGAGTTCCAATACAGTCTCCCATAGTTGCCTTAACTCTCATAAAGGTGGAATACTTATATTTCTTTAGTTGTGCACTGGATGAAATGTTTGGTTAGGGTTTCAATGCTATGCTATATAAATAAGGTTTCCGTAAACATTAGGGTCCCACTGAACCCGAGAAAATGCATACCGTGACAGAAACATAAAACTTAATTAATTTCCCCATGCTGCTCTCTCCTGAGCTTTCATAAGTTCATTGAATGGAATGGTGAGTGGAGTTAACTTTGCTATTTACATGGGTATGTTTTTCCCTCTTTTAGGAGCCTGTTTACTAGAATTTGCCAATATGAAATTTTTATTTATCAGTTCCCTTTTTGCTGTATAAGATTCAGTATTCTATTGCCTGAGATCATCAAGTGCAGCTCAACACTAAGGATGCTAATGTATAAAGTTATTTTTGTTATCCCACATTTTAGATCATTAATAGAGCACTTGAATGACATTTTTCTTATCAGTGGTATAATCTATTCAATAGCTATATTAAGGCAAAGTAAAACTTGCTTTTTACACTAGTTTTTTCTATAATATCTAGAATGGAGGAGCTTGAACAAATTCTAGTTCTTTGATTAAATCAACTCTTCCACAGAATCCAAGGACCTAAATTCCTATTAAAGTATCTGGCAGGGCTTGGGGATATACCTCTCACCTCTGTGGTTACTGTCTCCTAACATAATCCCACACATCATTACCTTATTTCACTGATTGTGTTCAGTAATTTTGTAGATAGGACTGTGAATGTGTAAGTATTTCCCCAGTTAAACTACCCTGTGCCCTCTTGCTTCCACCCTCAGCACTTTGCACACTGCCTGGCATTCAAAGGGCAGCTTGACTCATAGTGACAGGCATGCCAGATAAGATGTTGTTTCTTGATTTTTCATTGGTTCTTCTTTGATTTTGGTTCTTTTGTTTGTTTGTTTGTTTGTTTGTTGCAACTGGGGTTCGAACTAGGGCCTACACTTGAGCCACTCCACCAGCCTTTTTTATGATGGATTTTTTTGAGATAGGTCTCGCAAACTGTTTGCCCAGGACTGGCTTCGAACCCCAAACTGTGATCCTCCCAATCTCTGCCTCCTGAGTAGCTAGGACTACAGGCATGAGCCACCAGTGCCCGGCTTCATTGGGTGTTTTGATTCTAGTCCATGTTAGCATCATTTTTTTTCCCTATAAAATCATAACATTTGTGTGGTTTTGAGCAAGTCACATGATCACTCTAGATCTCAGGTTCTTTATCATGAAGATAAGAAAACCTGCCTCTAAATTTTCTCTAAAGCTAAACTAACAAATGCCTTCTGTAGGAGATCAAACTACAGAAGAGGAGGAGTATGATCATTCTCAGGGCACTGAAAAATCCTGTGACAACAAAGACTTCAACCCAAATGAAAGTGAGCTTGACTCTGAAGCTGAGCTCATGAAAAGTATGGGATTGCCACTTCAGTTTGGTGGTGTATCTGCATATAAGAATTTTGAGGTAACTTTAGTGTACTTTGATATTTATATTTCTTTATTTTCTTCATAAAATATGAAGTACATTTTGTATTCAAGTTATTTATCTAATGTAGGTGTCTATGAATACTAGAAATAAAGTTAAAATGAAAAAGAAAAAGAAAAAACATCAAAAGAAGTACTTAGATGAAATTATGCAAGAATCTTGGAGAAAAGAATATGAAGAAGATGACCTTTTGGTTTCAGATGGTCCATCTTCAGTTGAGCAGTATGAAAACACCAGAACATGTGACCTTCAAAGCAAAGGAGATAATGAAACAGAAAACCTTTCTGTTGAAAATACATTATCTCCAAAGCTAGAAGTTACAGAGAAATGGGAAAAGTATTGGAATGAATATGGAGGAAGACTGCTGTGGCAAAACTGGCAAGAAAAACACCCAGATGAAGTGCTATGTTGTGAACCTTGGAACTTTCCCGATACAAAGGAAGAATGGGAGCAGCATTATAGTCAACTTTATTGGTACTACTTGGAGCAGTTTCAGTACTGGGAGGCTCAGGGTTGGACTTTCGATGCTTCACGAAGCTGTGATACAGATGCTTGCATGTCTCAAATAGAAAGTGACAATAAGAATGATGAAAATAGCATAAAAGTGAACTTAGTATCTTCTCTGTCTTCACCTAATGCAGTTGATAAAGAAAGCTCTGGTTCAAGTGAAAAGGAACATAATGAAATACTTGATGGAATCAGTAATATAACTTTGAGGTCAGAGGAGATAGAACAGAGCCAGTTAGATTCCTCTGTAGGTTGTGGACAGCTGAATGAAGTTACCAGTGGGAGAGAGTGCCCTGCTTCTGGCCAGAATAAACCATGTAATGGAGTGAGCAAGGAAAGCAACTTATCTGGAAATAGAAGCACAGACCAACCAGCTCAAGGTAAGATTAGCCAGATTTATTCTGCCAAGTAATAGTTAGCAAAATGAATCTTTAGAATAATTACCACTAATCCTTTATGGTACTGTTAAATATCAACTCTATTTCATAGTATACTAATGAAACTATTTAATCCATCTTACTATTGTAACTCGTTTCTTTGCCCTTTTGTATTAATAAGAATATTTTCATTGGGTCCTGAAAAGTATTCTTTCCTCTTGTGCCTTGGTAGCCAATGAAGAAAGACTTGTAAATCTTTTTTTTTTTTGGTGATACTGAGCTTTGAACTCAGGGCCTCACACTTGCTAGGCAGGTGCTCTACCATTTGAGCCACTCCTCCACCAGCCTTGTAAATCTCTTGGGAAATCTAATTTAGAGTAAACTTAGACTTTTCATTTTTCCAGAACAAATGAGCTAAAGGCAGTTTAGAGCAAGCATTTGACTTTAGGCAAGCATATTATGAGTCATATGTGGAATTCATTTAGGACAAATGAACTTTTTGCTCTATAGAGAATATCAACAAGGCATGATACTGATTTGTAGCTGGAAGGATTTATCTCAGGATTCTCATTAATAAAATACCATGATGAGGAACATGGTTGACTCCTGATTAAGACTATTTAAAAATAAATTTATTTCTGAAGAAAAGTAGGTTAAAAGATGCTCAGAGTAGGTGTAATGAGAATGTTCTTGCTAAAAAGAAGTTTCTTCTAACCAATGGCACCAGAGAAATAGGAAAGGAATTTTTATGACTTTTGAATTTTCTAGTCTTGGTATCCTTGATGTTTGATACTAGAGTGACTTTGTTCTCAGACTTATTTCTGTATGAAGCAAAACATTTTGACCTGTCACTTAACAATTGGATTTGTTGTGCTCATGTCAGATTGCTAATCTTCTAGTTGAAAGTTTTCAAAGAGCTCTATCAGCTTCTTTCCTTTCTTCTGTACTGTTAAAAAGGAAGTTACCTCAATACAGGATTCTCATTTCTTTCTATTTTGCTGTTATTTTCATTCTTTTTTATCTGATAATTTTATATTAGTTTTCTGATACTCTTCCATTCACTCGAGATAACTTTCTGTACTTAATTTGAGCATAAAATTTGTAATGTACATATTGGTCAATGTATGCATTGTTACCACCTGCTTTTTTCCTTTTTCTTCATTTTCCTACTTTTTCCCTTCCCAAACACAGTAAAACCTCTCAAAGTCTGCTTTCTATTGCCTGTCCCTTACTTATGTATAGCTTGTGTACTTCTGTAATTTGCTGTAGTGTGTCTGCTATTGGGATCTATTTGAGGATTTTAGTTTTTGCTTTAAGATCAAATTGTAAGGTATGTGCTACATTTCTATATACATGTGATTTCTATTCTTTGTGGTTGATATTTTCCTGAATCTGCCTTCCTACAGTCAGAGCTTCCTGCTATCTACCCTAGACACCTTTCCTTTTCTAGTCTTACTTACCCATTATCTTCAGTGTGATGAAATGTAGGATAAAGGTAAATGTGTGCCTCATTTGGAACCACCACAGTTATAAAAGGTAGTACTTGTCTTGGTTACTTCCATTATTAATTTAAGAGTTATGTTGATGACATATGTTTGCTTGGTAATGATAAGAAGATCTATTTTAATCAATGTGATCATGGGGTCTGTGGAGTCACTTAAAGTTCCTTAAAAATGTGAATACCGACAGCTATCCCAAAGGTAATTTGATAGGTTAACTTGTGTAGCTGTGAACAGCTAAGAAGCAGTTTTAGTTTGTTTTTTTAAAGTACAGTCATGAATCACTTAACGATAGGGAGGATACATTCTGAGAAATGCATCATTAGGCAATTTCATTGTTTTGCAGACAGTATACTTAAAACATTTGAGGGTGTATGTGATGGTGCACATCTGTAATCTCAGTACTTAAGAGGCCAAGGTGAGAAGATCATGAGTTCAAGACCAGCCTGAGCTACATAGTGAGATCCTGTGTCAAAAAAAAATTTAACAGTTGAGACATCCGTAGGCAATATATAATCTTAGGATATACATTGAATATTTGACTGTATAGTCCATCATTGACTAAACATCATAATGCAATGCATGATTATGTAGTTACATCATGGAAATTTCTTTATGTGTGCGCATGCATGGGTTGGGTATTGATCCAGGGCCTCATGCATGCTAACCAGATGCTAATACCACTGAACTATATCCCCAGCCCAGATCATGGAAACTTTTAAACCTGACAGACACAACTCTGGTTTTTTTTGTTTTTTTGTTTTTTACTCAAACTGAATCTGCACACACAACTAGATGGAGCCTGGCACTTTTCCTGATGCACACGTACAGTTCACTGTAGGAAAGGAATGGAAATAATTTTATTGCCTTTGCAAATGGCAGAAAAGCTGCCAAACCAAGGGGAAAACCCACTGCAATATCTCTGCCTGTTTAGAGTCACAGGAGTCATTGGGATCAAGTGCAAGCAAAGACAGATCACATACCAATGGGATTGGTGGAGATGAGAATGAAGAAGATCCACCTGAGAATAAGCCCAGCAAACTCAAGAGGAGGTAGGTTTTACATATTACCTCTGTCTTTAAATTGCATTAGTGTAAGCATTTGTGAATGGTTATTAAATGTTTGTTATAGCTACAACATTGCTAATCCTAAGAGGCAGGAACTATTGGGAAGACTCTGAACTTTTGAACTTATTGTCATATTCCAACTCTGACACTCACAAACTCTAAATACATTTTTTAATTTCTCATCTATAAAGTGGGATTGATGGCTTCACCCCTCCCTTTGGTGAGATCATTGGGTATATTAGAGCTAGCATGTGGTATATCTGACACTTGGTAGCTATTAATGGATACTTTCAGCTAATAACTTTATATATATATAAAGTTCTAATTTTTTCTTAAAAAGTCTGAGTATATGTTATCTCAAATTTTTATTGCTAAAGTAATCTTTAATGCTATATTGAATGGGTAGGAATACTGAGATAAAGATAAGTGCCATGCTCAGAGTTACTTTGTAACAGTTGCTGATCTAAAGTTACAACCCAGACCAACTCCACCCTAGACAGTGCTTTTTCTGTTTAACACCTATAGCATCATTAAACAGGGTAATGTAAGGTATACTGTGAAATAGGATGTGGTGAAATACTAGTACTATATATAACAAGGTAGGTGTTGATCATTATAGAATTTCAACCTTATTAGAAGTATTTCAGTTCTCTCATAGAATATGAAGTGCTCCATATAAGACTTCTTATGCTCCGTATAACCTCTAGAAAAGCAGTAGGCAAACTCTGGAAGCTCAGTAACTTAGAACAGAAGAGCATGCCTTACAGAGTATTCTCTCTACATGGTAGGCACTGCTTATTAATTCTTCTATTCCTACAAGTCCTAAAAGCAGAGACCATATGTACACTTACATTCCTAGGACCCAGTAGAAACTTAGCAATATTTAGCCAACTTAATTAGAAGGACAAACTTTGTAAGAATTATTTTTTGCTGTATTTGTTTACAATACAAATACAATTGTGATATTGCTCAGGTAGCCAAGGTTTCTAAAAGGTACCTAGTAGGTAGATTCTTTTGGGTTACTTACTATCACTTGTATCACAACCTATATTTCTTAATAACAGTGTTTGTTTTAAATATTTTTGGTCAGATTGATACTTCTCAAATATTTCTTTGTTTTTAGGGAGAAACTCTAAAAAGTACTCTAGGAGATTAATTTAAGGCTGCAACTTTTTTTTCTATCTTGCCTGGCTGTAACTTTTAATGGTGTTTTTCCAAAGGAAAATGGAGTGCTCCTTATTTGTACTATGTTCAGAACTAGAAATAATTACTTGACATGTTTGAGATTCTAGTGTATATTACTATCTTCCAAACACTAGTGAGTACTTTTAAGTCATTTGGAAAATCCTGATTAAAGTAGCATTTCTTCCGAATTCCTGGAATGATGAACTGTGCTTGACTATTGATATTTTCCTGAACTGATGGGCTCTGGAGATAATGGCTTATCACTACCTTTTTTTATTTGTTTAGCCATGAACTGGACATCGATGAAAACCCAGATTCAGACCTTGATGATAATGGTTCCCTTCTAGGATTCAAGCATGGCTCAGGACAAAAGTAATTACTTGTGAAAACTATTGTCTTCTAGAAATCCTAACCACTCCAGCTTTCTTCAAATGCTAGAGTATTCATAGAGATAATAAGTGATACTATATTTGAGATGTTACAATTGAAACACTAACTTACTATACAAATTCTAGTAGATACTGCTATATATTTGATCTAGTTGCTGCATTAACTCAGTTGCATTTCATAGCAATCCAGTGTTACTCCATTTCATAGATAAACTCACTGTAGCTTACAGAGGTTTTGACTTGGTCAAGATCATGTCATTTCCTGGAAAAGGAATTTAAGCCCAGCTCTTGTAAGTTCTAAAACATGGTTCTTACCTTGTATCTCCTGTATCCCTGTGTGTATAGGAAGACCATGGCAGAAATGCCATGAAAAGATCCAATCTGTAATAATATTTTTGCTTTTTTTATTATGAAAGTATTAAAACTCAGATGATACAGCAGTAAAAAGTGAAAATCTTATTTTGAAATCATTCCCACAAGTAATCAGTGTTTTAAAAAGTTTAGCATATATCCTTCCAAGTTTACTTGTGTGTTTTTATGACTTGTGTAGATGCACATACATTACTTCCCTTTTTATAAAGCACACAAGTGGGATTATACTATGCATACTCTGTAGCTTGCTTTTCCCCCTCTCAGTAATGTACCATGGATATCCTTCCTTTTTGATAGATACAGCATTTGCCTAATCCTTTCAGTGAAGGCATTGTGTTTAATTCATTGTTTTTTAATTCATTCACTTATTGAAGTGCATTTTGCTATTACAAACAGCCACAATTAACATTTGGGTATGGAGACCTAAGTTTTCTCTGAGATTAAATGCCCAAACACTAACTATAAGGAAAGTATGAATAAGTAGATAACTGCATAAGAACAGCCAGCAATTTCATGTCATAGGACAGGAAGAGTGAACTGAGTTGATGAGCTAAATAATTTACTGTTTATGTCAGCTTACACAAGTCTTCAAATCTTTGATGTTTCTGAGGGTTGAGACTTCATATACTACTTACCTATTTTATAAGTTATTAAACTTAGATACCTACATGTAATGAAGTCAGAAAGAAAATAACATGGGTTATGTCTCATAACTGACTTACATTGACTCCATATTAGTTCAAAAGTACACGGTGATAATTATAATACTATAAATAGTTTGTAAAGTTACCTCTTTTAAGTACTTCAAGACAGTTCACATAATCATTTATGGCTAAAGATCATAAAATTTAGCAATGTAAAGGGTTTTTAAATCCCTAGCAGAATTTATTGCTAGGTACATGTGATATTATTTGACAAACCGTTATCATAAAGAAGTTTATAGCATGACTAAAAGAAGAGAGAGTTAAGTGAGGTTGATAGACTCGAACAAAGCTTCCTGGAAGATATATATCTTTTAGGACTGGAAAATTTTCAATAGTTAGATCAGGTATGATGTAATCACTTTGAAAATGATGGTTTGCTTCTTTTATAAGCTCAGATTTCGCTAAGCTAAGAACTCAGTGTACACTGTTAGGACAAATTGGACATGTCCAGATTTGTATTAAGAACTAACAGGTATCACCCAACTTTGAGAAAATTTTCCCTGACAGTGGGATGTGTTTTTTACTATTTTTTTATTGCAGTCCATTATATATTTTGAGGTTTTACTTTCTACTTTACATCAGAAATGTTGTATGCTGGGCATAGCATTGCATACTTGTAATCCCAGAATTTAGGAGGCTGAGGCAGGAGGATCACCAAGTTCAAGACGAGCCTGGACTACATAGTGAGATACTGTCTCAAAAAGAAAAAGTTGCTTTGTCCATCTTTGGTGTTTCACAGTTGTTTTTAAAATTAACAGAAAAGTTAGACCATAAACACATCTGCAATTTTTACTTCATCATTTTCATAATTTAATAAAATTAAAATGGTGGCTACTAAGAGCAAAAAACTAATGGAAATTGTTAATTTTATTCTCTTTTCCTCTATGAGGAAACACTCTCCTAGAACTTAATGTGTGAGTCATTCTTTTGATTTGAATACAGATATGGAGGGATTCCAAATTTCAGTCATCGACAGGTCAGGTACCTAGAGAAGAATGTGAAACATAAATCAAAGTACCTGGACATGCGCAGACAAATAAAGATGAAAAATAAACATATCTTCTTTACTGAAGAGTCAGAAAAAACAGTTTTCAAGAAAAGTAAAACTCTGAGTAAGGTATGTATAAATTTTGTTTTATACTTCAAAAAGATGGAGTCATGTTTTATGAATTTGACTCCTTAAAATCATTGTATTCAGATGGGAAACCTGTTTCTATGAGTATCTTTTCCACTTATTTACTGAATGTATATATTGTGTAAACTAGATTTGGGAAGAAAAAAAAAAGTTGAGGTAATATGAAAGGGAGTGTTGGTGAAAATACAGCCTGGAAGGTAAGTCAAATTGTGCTGCCTGGATGTAACAGATAAGAAAAAAGGATGTTTCATCTGTGTTAGATGAAATAGGATTCTGATAGTCCACACTCATTTTTCATTATTTATAATAGCATAATTTAATCATACAAAGGGGTAGTGGTTATTTATATACATGCATATAATATGCTTTGATCAAATCCATTTATCCCATATTATTCTTTCTTAACTCCTCTCCCAACTTGGCCTCCATTTTAAGTTTTTCTGAATTTCATAATTTCATTGTTACTTTCATACATGTATATGATGTAACTTTCCATCATATTCACCCCCCCATCACTTTCTCCTTTCCTTCCTCTTTGCCACTGGTACCCACCCTCCAGACAGTCCCCTTTTTTAGTCATGTTATACTATATACATTTTTTTAGGTCTAAATTACAAATATGAGCAAAGACATGTTTTATTTTTATTTCTGAACGTGGCATATCTTCCTTAACACTGATTTCCAGTTCTATCCATTTTCCTGCAGATGACATAATTTAATTCTTCCTATTGCTAAATACTACTCCATTGTATATATGTTCCATAATTCCTTTATCCAGTTATTGGTTTGGCAACATTTAGGCTGATTCCATACCATATAGTGCTACTGTAAACATGCGTATACAGGTAGCTCTATTGTATGTTGATTTAGTTTCCTTTGGGTATATGCCCTGAGAGTAGTATAGCAGCATAAGGTAGTTCCATTTTTAGTTTCTTGAGGAAACTTCATATCGATTTCCATAATGGCTTCACTAATTCTTTACAGTCATACCAGCAGTGTATAAGGGTTCCTTCTCCCCACCCCTGCATGCTCATCAGAATTTGTTGTTTGTTTTCTTGATGATACCCATTCTAACTGAGGTGAGATGAAATTTTAGTGTCATTTTAATTTTCATTTCCTTTATAGCTAAGGATGGTCAACGTTTCTTAATGTATTTATTAGCCATTTGTACTCTTTTGAAGATTGTTCAGTTCACTTGGCCATTTATTAACTGATTTGTTTGTTGTTTCGGTGTTTAATATTTGGGCTGTATATATTCTGGGTATTTGTCCAATGAATAACTTGCAGAGAGCCAGGCAACCCTAGCTACTTGGGAAACTGAGATCAAGAGGATCTCAAGTTCAAGGCTAGCCCAGGCAAATAGTTAGCTAGACTTCATCTCCAGAACATAACCAGAACAAGATAGACTGGAGGCATGGCTCAAGTGGTAGAGCATTTTGCAAGTGTAAATAAATTCGTACATACATACATAACTTGTAAAGGTTTTCTCCCTTTCCATGGGTTGTCTCTTCATTCTAGTAATTGTTTCCTTTGATGTGCAGAAGCTTTTTTAGTTGATATGATCCCATTTGTCAGCTGTTGCCCTTATCCTGAGTAGTTGGAGTCCTATTCAGAAAGTAGTTGCTTATGCCTGTATCTTAAGTGTTTTCTCATAGTAGTTTTCAAAGTTTCAGGTCTTATATTAATATCCTTGACCCATTTTGAATTGATTTGTGTACAGGATGAGAGATAGGGATCTAGTTTCATTCTTCTACGTGTGTATGTCTAGTTTTCCCAGCACCATTTGTTGAAGAGACTGTCTTTTCTCCAGTGGATGTTTTTGGCTGTTTTGTCAAAATTCAAATGGCTGCAACCAGATGGGCTTATTTCTGGATCTTTTATTCTATTCCATTGGTCTAGGTATCTGTTTTTGTGCCAATACCATACTGGTTTTGTTACTATGGTTCTATAGTATAATTTGAAGTCATGTATTAGGACACCTTTACCATTGCTCTTTTTTCCTCAGGATTGCTTTGGCTATTTAGGGTCTTTTATTCTTACATATGACTTTTTGGACTGATTTTTCTATTTCTGTGATGAATGGCATTGAAATTTTTGATGGGGATTGCAGAGAATCTATAGATTTTTTCAGTAGATAGCCACTTTCACAATGTTAATTCTGCCAAGTGTTTATCATATGTAAGAGTTATATCATCTATAAATAAAGATAATTTGGGTTTTTTTCCTGTTTGTATTCCTTTTGTTTCTTCCTCTTGACTTAGTGCTCTGGCTAGAAATTCAAGCACTGTATTGAACAAAAGTGGAGAAAGTAGATACTTTGGTCTCATTCTTGACTTTATGGGAAATAGTTTCAGTTTTTCCTCATTTAGTACAGTGTTGACTGTAAGTTTGTCATATATAATCATTGTTATATTGAGCTTTGGTTATGAAGGGATATTGAATTTTGTCAAAGGCATTTTCTGCATCTATTGAGATAATCACGTAAGTTTTTTGTTCTTTATTTATGTGCTGTATTGTTTACAATATGTGTATGTTGAACCATTCTTACATTTCTAGAATGAAACTAACTTGATCATGGTATATGATGTGATGTGTTGTTGAATTCAGTTTGCAAGTATTTTATTGAGCATTTTTGCATCTATGTTCATCAGGGGAATTGGCCTATAATTTTCTTTTTTGTTTTTTTAATCCAGCTTGGGTATCAGGGTAATATTGGCTTCATGGAATGTGTTTGGTAGAGTTTCTTCCTTTTCTGTTTTATGGAATAGTTTGAAGAACTTCGGTGTTAATTCTTTTTAAAGGTCTTACAGGATTCAGCAGTGAACCCAGGAAGTCCTGGGCTTTTCTTTATTTATTGGGAAACTTTTACTGCTTCAATCTCTATTCATTATAGATCTGTTAAATGGTTGATACCATCTTGGGTCAATTGTAGAAATTTATTTTTTTCTAGATTTCTCCAGTCCATTAGAATAGAAATTTTCAAAGTGTTCCCTACTGATCGTCTGAATTTCATTGATATTTGTTGTGATATACCTAATTTTAATTATTTGGGTTTTTCCTCTCCTTTTTGTTAGTGTAACTAAGGATGTGGCCATTGTCTTTTCAAAGCACTAACTTTTTGTTTCATTGATGCTTTTGTATTGTTTTTCAGTCTCCAGTTCATTAATTTCTACCCTAACCTTTTTACTTCTTTCTACCTACTAATTCGAGATTTGGCTTGTTCTTATTTTTCTACAAGCTTGAGGTGCATTATTAAGGTTATTTGAATTTCCCCTCTTATTTCCTCAATGACCCATTGGTCATTGAGCAACGTGTTGGTCAGTCTCCATGAGTTTGAATATTTTCTGTTATTTTTTTTTGATTTCTAGTTTTATTCCATTGTGGTCTGATAAAATACAGGAAATTATTTCTCTTTTCTTATATTTCTTAAGACTTGCTTTTTTGTACTAAAATACCTGTTTTGGAGAAAGTTTCATGGGCTTCCGAGAAGAATGTGTATTCTGCAGCTTTTGAGTGGGATATTCTATAGACATCTGTTGATGTCCACTTGGTTTGTAGTATCATTTAATACTGAAGTTTCTCTGTTGGTTTTTGTTTTTTTTTTTGGACTGGATGACCTATCTATCTATGAAAGTAGGGAATTGAAGTCCCCAGTCTTAGGGGTTTATTTGTGCTTTGTATCCAGTAGTGTTTAATGAAATTGGATATGCCAACAGTCTGTAGTATGAGTTTACAGTTGTTATCTCCGCTGGATGAATTGTTTCCTTTATCAATAGGAAATGACATTCTTCCTCTCTTCTGATTATTTTGTCTTGAAGTCTGCTTTGTCAGAGATAAATACAGTTTTTGCTTGCTTTCAGGCTCCATTTGTTTGAAAATCTTTTTCCATCTCATTTTAAGACTGTATCTATCACTGAGGTGTGTTTCCTGTAAGCAACAAATGGTTGAGTCTTGTTTTTAATTCAATCACCACTTTATTTCCTTTCTCAAAGCATTTTTATTAGCACACATTAGTTGTACAGGAGGGATTCATTGTGACATTTCTGAATATGCTTACATTGTAGATTCCCTGCCACCATCTCTCCCTCTCATCCTTCCCCTTCACCACCTAAAACAATTGCAGAAGGTTTCATTGTTATATTTCATATGTGTATACAAAGTACATTGATCTTATTCACCCTCCTTCATCTCCTCCATTCATCCTCTCCCTCCCCAAAGTACCCACCCTCCCCAAACAGGACCTATTTCACAATCCTGTCCTTCATTTTTAATTACAAAGTCAGTGTTTAAAGAGATTTCTTGATGTATCTCAGCTGTGAATATACTGTGTTTTGGTCAGTTCAACCCACTTTGTTACTCTCCCCCTCCTACCCTTAATACTCAACAGCTTTCAGTACATATCATTATGTATCTACCTGCATAGATGCTGTGTATTTCAATATTGTTGACTCCATCATTCTCTTTTCCTTTCCCTCTTCCCCTGAGTTCCATATAATAATTCCACTATTGCAAACATGTTCTATATATAAATGTATATGATTATGTTTGGTTTTATGCATATGTTTATCTTTTGGATCTGTCTTCCACATATGAGAGAAAATGTGGTCCTTACCTTTCTGAACCTGGCTTACTTCACTTAACATGATGTTCTTCAATTCCATCCATTTACCTACAAACAACATAATTTCATTTTTTATGGGGTGTTTGTTTTCTGATCCTGCCAGCTTGGTATTCTGAAAGCCTCCTGTACCTGGTTGTTTTCCCTTTCTTGACATTGGGGAAGTTTTCAGCTATTGTGTTACTGAGTAAGTTATCTATGTCTTTAGTTTGTGTCTATTCTATACTCATGATTTGCAGATTTGGTCTTTTGACCAAATCTAGACATCTTGCATGTTCCAGTCATCTTTTCTTAGCATTTTTTCATGTTCTTTGACTGAGTGATATAATTCCCTTGCTTTGTCTTCTGTTCCTGATACCTTCTT